TGCTTTCCCTCGCCAGGGCCGGGCGGTGGCGTGTTGCACGGAGAGACGGATGGTACGTGGCTGCCCAGCTCCCTTTTCCTGCCGCTCAGTAGCCTCCACTCGCACCGCCCAGGCTCCGCTCAGGTGTCCGGCTGGGCTGTCAGGAGTTGCTACCACCGGCGCGGCTCCAGTCCCGCATTGCCTCGGGAAGGGAAAGGCAAAACGGGGAGCTGCTGTGCCTGAGCCTCCGGTGCCGCTGCTGCTGTTGCAAAGTGCCGCCGCAGCTCTTCCTTTTTGCCTTTCCCTTCCTGAGGCAACGCGGGACTGGAGCCGTGCCGGCGGTAGCAACTCCTGACTCAGGGGGCCTCTGAGGGGAGGGGAAGGAGGAGGAGAAGGGGGGGAAGGGGGGGCGATTTCCAAAAAAATCGGAATTCTGATTTTAATCAGAAGAATATCATGTCTGTTTCTGAGAAGTAGGGTCAAACTGATCAAGGAGAGATTCAACCTAGAAATAAGGAGAAATTTTCTGACAGTGAGAGCCAATCAACCAATGGAACAGAAGTTGCCTTTGGACGTTGTGGGAGCGTCATCACTTGAGACCTTCAAGAAGAGATTGGACTGCCATTTGTCAGAAATGGTGTAGGGTCTCCTGCTTGGGTGGGGGCTTGGACTAGATGGCCTACAAGGTCCCTTCCAAATCTATTGAACTGGAAAGCCTTTTCTTCTTCTAGGCTTCCAAATAGGATGGAATTTAGAAGAAGGCTTCTCTTGCTGATCAGACTAGCCAGAAGGAAATAAGAAATGAACAATCTTAATAAACACTCAAGCTTTAAATAATGATTGCATCAATTCCATTTAGATTGTAGGTTGCAATGAAAGATGAGAAAGCTTAACTAGCACTGTAGGTCCAAAAGCAACATTGGTAACTGAACCCAAGCTGAACATAAGCCAGGTGTTGGATACAGCTTCTAAAAGATGAAGACGTTCTGAGCTATATTAGCAGAAGCATTGTGTCAAACCCCCCCCCACCCCACCCCCAGAGAATCTAAAATTTCATTTTAGTCTTCTATTGACAGGTTGTGGCTGAGTTGTTGGTTTTAAATGTTGAAAGATGGCTAAAACAAGACCTTCGTTCCAGGAAGTGGCCAGGATAGTGGGTGGGATGGAGGCATAAATCTACATTATGTAATAAACATTAGAAACAGCTGGATGTGTTTCATCTGGAAGATAAAAGGAGATAATAATAATACTGCTCTTAAACTAGCTGAAGGGCTCTTACCCAGATAATTAAAACAGGTTATGTTCCTTTAGTGGCCCAAGAACTGGAACTAAGCAGAACCCATTTGGAGAAACTTAAGAATCCAAGTTGCTGAACCATGAAACAAACACATATTTTTTCTGGAATTAAGTCAAATATGTTTCCCTGGGTGTGTATGGTCTTGAAATTCTGGAGTTTGAGTAAGAAACAGCCCAGAAAAGTAGCTTTGCATCCAGTGTTGAAAATTATCCATTCAACAGGAAGCTGGAAAATGAAGCATCCAAGATTCCAATTACATTTTTTTCAACTACTTTATAGTTCAGGGAGAAGATTCAGGATAAGATTTATGATTCAGGTAGTCCTTGACTTACTATCATTTGTTTATAGATCCTTGAAGTTACAACGGCCCTGTAAAAAATGACTTAGGACAGGTCATCACACTTACGTCACAGCTTCTCCAGTCTCACCTGATCAGAAGTCCGGGGCGCTTGGAAACTGGCGTGTATTTATGGCAGCTGCAGCACCCTGGGGTTATGGGATGGCCAATTCCAACCTTCCCAACGAGTTTCCAACAAACAAATTGAATTGGAGAAGTTGGATTTCCTTAAGAATAGAATAGAATAGAATAGAATAGAATAGAATAGAATAGAATAG